TTAGTTTTGTTCTTCTGCAAAATTTTGCCAGACAGCTATGTCTTATGTTAACATAATTTGCCATGGGTTAGCAAATTGTACTTCCCAGACCAAATCTGACCTGTCATTTCCTTTTATAAATATTTTGATTGGAACACAGCCATGGCTATTCATTTACATGTTTTCTATGGCTTTTTTCACCCTATAATGCACAGTTGAGTAGTTGCAACAGAGACTGCATGGCCCATGAAGCCTAAAATATTTACTATGTAGCTCTTTACAAAAAGATTCTCAACTTCTGCTCTAATGTAATAAACAGCAAGAAGTAATATATAGAGATATTTCTCTATTCAGTTTTTCAAGTACTTCTTATTTTTGTTAATAGATATATCAACAAAAATTCAACCATAATAATTTATTCCACTCTGTTTAAATAGAGCAGAGGATTGGTGACATAGATGGTGGAAGAAGGAATTAAACCCATTGATCAGCATCAGCAGGACACAGACAGGGGTACTTTTGTCCAAGCCGTGACTGCAATTGAGGAATTGAACCACAGAGTAGGATGGCAGGGAGAATGGAACTGTTGCCCAAATTAGGAGCCACAAAAAATGTGTTCTGCTTTTGTTTGAGATGCGGCTTGAGACAGAAGAAATGAGAAAAATATCCTGGTTCTCAACTAGTTCCTTGCATTGCCTGAACCTATCCATATGTCAGCTGACACATAAGCCTGAGAAATGCAGCTTGCAGAGTTTGTTCTCTTAAAATACAGCAGAGCAGAGACGTGGAAAATGAGGGTAAGGACACCTAGGTCTGAGACCAGCACAGCTGCTAATAGTTTCTAAGTACTACCATATGCCAGGTCAGTGCATGAATCCTCACCTAGGACATAAATACTAGTATTATCCCCAACTTAAAGAAGAAACTTACCTGGAAAACTAAGTAAATTATTCAAAGCTATGAATTACATAAATGATGAAGTTAGAATTGAATCCAAAACTGTTTGACTCCAAAACTCTAGCTTTTAGCATTCTGATTTTACAAAATAAATAAAAGTAGTTTGGAGATGATATAAATATCTTTGCAGATGGCTATTGATTAAGTAAGAACCAAGAACCCAAATTATTCCTATAAGGTTTTTGAACTTCTTTTTTTCTTTTTTTTTTCTTTTTCTTTTTTCAATTTGACAGATAGAGTTATAAACAGTGAGAGAGAGAGAGACAAAGAGAAAGGTCTTGCCTCTGGTGGTTCACTCCCTAAATGGCCACTATGGCCGGCGCTGTGCCAATCCAAAGCCAGGAGCCAGGTACTTCCTCCTGGTCTCCCACGCAGGTGCAGGAGCCCAAGCACTTGGGCCATCCTCCACTGCCCTCCCAGGCCACAGCAGAGAGCTGGACTGGAAGAGGAGCATCCGGGATTGGAACCCAGCACCCATATGGGATGCCGGCACCGCAGGGGAATGGGAGTATTAACCAAGTGAGCCACGGCCCTGGCCCAAGGTTTTTGTACATCTTAACAGGGTTAAAAATTTGTGTTCATTGTAGCATTTAGAAAATGTCCAAAGGAGCTACTATTGAGATATGGAGGTGCTTTTGTACCTGAAATTACTTTTTTTTTTTTTTTTTTTTGACAGATAGAGTTAGACAGTGAGAGACAGAGAGAAAGGTCTTCCTTCCATTGGTTCACTCCCCAAATGGCCGCTACAGCCAGAGTTATGCCAATCCGAAGCCAGGAGCCAGGTGCATCCTCCTGGTCTCCCATGCGGGTGCAGGGACCCAAGCACTTGGGCTGTCCTCCACTGCCTTCCCGGGCCACAGCAGAGAGCTGGACTAGAAGAGGAGCAACCAGGACTAGAACCAGTGCCCATATGGGATGCTGGCGCCGCAGGTGGAGGATTAACCAAGTGAGCCACGGCTCCAGCCCTGAAATTACTTTTTGATTCCAACTTATTTTATTTTGAAAGGTAGTTATAACTACCTTAAGACTGTTGAGAGGGATTAAATAGATATTACATCTAAACATCTCTTAATAATTTGCCAAAGAGTAGGAATCCTAGCTAGCTCTTGTTGTTATTACTATTTTTATTATGCAGACCCTAGAAATGGTTATCACAGGAAAAGAGTAAATCAGAAATTTTATACAGTGCTTTCAGATACTTTAATTAAACAATAATAGCCTGCTGTTGGGTCTTGTACTTTTCTACTGTTTAGAAGAATCACTAAAAGATACTTAAAAAATAGCATTTTGTTTTGTTTCCTTTTTTCTTTTTGAATTTATTTTTCACTTTTATTTATTTATGTGTTTGTATAAAGGGAACAGATTTCATGTATTTCATATATACAGTTTTAAGAAAATAATGAAGGGGCCAGCGCTGTGGCATAGTGGGTAAAGCTGCCGCCTGGAGTGCTGGCATCCCATATGGGCACAGGTTTCGAGTCCCAACTGCTCCACTTCTGATCCACCCCTCTGCTGTGGCCAGGGAAAGCAGTAGAGGATGCACCTGCATGGGACACTGGGAAGAAGCTCCTGGCTCCTGGCTTCGGATTGGCATTGCTCCAGCCGTTATGGCCATCTGGGCAGTGAACCAGCAGACGAAAGACCTCTCTCTTTCTCTGATTTTGCTTGTCTGTAAATCTGCCTTTCAAATAAATAAATAAATCTTTAAAAAATGATAATTTCCACCCTCTATGATGCCTTTGGTAAATACTAGTGCTTATATATATGAAGTCGCATTTGCTCTTATACTTCTAAATGGTTACTGTCTTTCATCTACGATGGTGTTTTCCAACCTTTCTCTCAACATACGGCCTTTTTCTTCCTGTCCTCATGGCTTCTCTTGGCTTCATTCTCACTAGTCCCCCACAATCTACCAAGTCCTTTTTCTTTCTTAACTTCTCAAATCTTTTTTTTTTTTTTTAGATGTATTCATTTATTGAAAGAGTTACAGAGAGAGGAGAGACAGACAGAGATCTTCCATCACTGATTTACTTCCCAAATGGCCAGGAGCTTCTCAGGTCTCCCACGTGGTACAGGGGCCCCAGCACTTGAGCCATCTTCCGCCACTTTCCCAGGCCATAAGCGGGGAGATGGATCAGAAGCAGAGCAACTGGAACTCAAACCAGTGCCCATATGGGTGCTGACGCTGAAGACAGTGGCTTAACCCGCTGCGCCAGAGCAGGCCCCTGAAGTTTTGTAATACTTTAGTACAAGCTTTTCTTTCTCAACCATTATTTCCCTAACTAATCACGTGACGCTTTGATCCTTTATCTATAAATAGCGCTATAGTTAACCTATGACATGCTGTCAAATGCTGTTCATATTGCCTGAAATAGTTCTATAATTTTTCCATTTATATCTTGCTTCTCCAACTAGATTAAAAGCCATATTTGTGTTAACTTTTTTAAGAATATTCGAGTGTTACATGAAGGCTTGTAGCTAGAGTTCAAATTACTTGTATTTTTAAAAAATGATTATTTGTTTAAAAATGTAGTCATGATGCATGGCAAAGTCACTGAAGAATTTCTTTTGTAAGGTTCCCTGAAAATAGTTAGAAAAAGGAAAGCATTCCTTTAATCCAAAGCGTTCCAAAGATTCAAACATTAATAGGAGCATGAAAAAAAAGGTCTTGGAAGTATGTAACCTATGATAAATAGTTATTTTTCACTTTTCTTAAGGGCAAGTAAGAAAGGTACTTTGACAAGAAAAATCATTAGGCAATGGAAAATCATTATTTTAATGTGCTGAAAATATTTTAAAACTAAGGACTCATAACACAGTATGGACCTGCTGCTACTCTTTTCAGAATCTGAGACTTTGGACTTGGTATAAAAATTCAACCTATAGTATTTAGGAAGTAATGATGACCATGCAAATATTTACAAATTGTGGTCTACTCTTATTGCATGTGCTTCATAGAGATTATTTACCATGTACTGACCTTAGGAAATTGTACAAATATAGAGATCCAAGGAACAGTAGTAAAAAGGCATTCAAAATGATCTCAGAGAATGTCTCTGAAATCCTTCAGATTTATTTACAATTAAAAATTATATCTAATGACGTATTCTTGTTTTTCCATATTTAAGAGGAATGTTTTCTCGGCATTTCAAAATCAGCAATACTGGGTTTTAAATGCTACAGCTGCAGAACTCTAAAAGATAAATAAAATAAAATCACACTGCTTAAACACTATGAGAAGTTATAAATCTGTAGGAAATTAACAATTGCATTTAGGATGACCCTTTGCTATTTAGAATCTGTAGTTAGCTAGATTGACAGGATACTTGTCTTTTAAAAATTCAGATAAAGAAGTATTTGAAACTTTTAAAAATAAATAATCCTTTCTTTACCCTCTCAACAGTCTTGCCCTTGCCACCCTTAATACATGTGCTTATTTTGAGCAATCTAGTATTTTCTGTGGTGTTAATGTATTAAATGTAAATCTTAAATCCAAATTCCTTGAATTTGAAGGTGTTTAGACTTGAGACTTAGCATTTTGTCCATTTCATTGCATTTTAAAATATGGGTTTGTCAGGGCTAGACAGTAAACAGCTATAATAGAAGGGTTCTAAACCAAAATTAATAGTGTTAAATGTCATGCTACAAACCTGCCTCTTGATTCCTTAAAATAAAGAACTGAGAGGAGGTATGGCAACTAGACATCAAATAATGTGATGAAAAGGATTTTGGTGTTTTAATTTCTTTCTAGTTTTTTGTGTGTTTATAACCTGATGGATTGGTTACAAGATGGACTCTGACATGTATCTGAATGCAAAGTTATATGAAAACTAACACTTATCTTTGTTTATATTGCTTCAGTTATTCTACAGCTAAAATTATAATTAAGACACTTCAATTTAAATATTAATTGTAAAGCAGTAAAGCAAATGCCAGAATATTTGCCAGGGAATATGGTAGCAAGCTATTATGATAGCTTCAGGTAATTTTAATTTGAGGGACATTGTTCCTTGGTTTTGGTATTTTCCAACAATGGTACCATTTATGATTCTATTTTATTTTAGCCATGCCCTTTGGGTTCCCGAGATTTTCGAGAGAAACAGTGTGCAGACTTTGACAATATGCCTTTCCGAGGAAAGTATTATAACTGGAAACCCTATACTGGAGGTAATGTATAACCTGGCAGAAAATTCATGCTTGAGAGATTTGAAAATATCAGAGTATATAAATACATACAAAAACACATATACATTCATGTTCACACTAATTAGAATTAGTACCTGCAAATCAAAGAAGGAAAGTGCTTGTAATACTATGAAGTTCTCATGTTTTAGTTTCACTGTAGTAAAGATGATATATTTTTACAAATTATCAGAAATTTTTTAAAACAAATTATATGTAATAAGGTCAAAATTCCTAGAATAGGATGTACATTAAAAACATATACTTTTGAGTTTTGCTTGAGACTTCCTTAGGGTATAGATAAGCCAGATTATAATCAGTGAATATTTACAATTACCACCCTTAAAACAAAGGTAACAACATAAACCAAATTAAAGAGACTAGGAAAATCTATGTTCAGTTTTAGTCAGAGGTCAAGGATCTTTCTGCAGATTATTATAACTTTTTCAGAGTTAGGAAGCGTTTTTTGCACTTTAATTTGAGCATATATCAAAACACAAATTCAAGCTAAATTTTCTCAGAAAAATTGAATGTACCATTCTTTAAATTTTTATTGATTGTGGTTTATTTTTATTTACATTATGTTTAATGTTAAACATTTTGCAGTACTTAAAGGAAACGATATTAATGAATGAAACTTACTTTGAAATACATCCAAAAAATGGACTGGATTAATAAATGGTCAAAGAGGTGAATAGATGTGTTTAGAGCAAGTATAGTAATATGTTCATGATAGGATATTTGAGATAGACATACAGTTGACACTGCAAAATTCTTAATACTGTATGTCATATAATATTTAAAGATATTGGAAAAACAAACAATATAACTTTTTTTAAAAGTACATTCAGGGGCCAGCGTTGTGGTGTAGTGGACGCTGTCTACAATGCCAGCATTCCATATGGTTGCTGGCTGCCCCCCGTCTAATTCAGGCCTGCGAAAACCAGCAGAGGACACCCTAAGTGCTTGGTCCCCTGCACCCATGAGGGAGACCCCGAGGAAGCTCCTGGCTCCTACCTTAGGCCTGGACCAGCCCCAGCCATTGCAGAACTTTGGGGAATAAACAAGCAAATGGAAGATCTCTCTCTTCCTGTGTCCCTCCCTCTCTCTGTAATTATGACTTTCAAATAAGTAAATAACTAAAACTTAAAAAAATCAGAGATGGGGGTTCTTAAATTTATTTCTCACAATGTGGAAGATGAAGATTAAGTTGCCAACATGGTTCAGTTCTGGTGGGGGCCCTTGTCTGGGTTGCTGACTGTCTTCTCATTGTATCTTACATGGCAGAAATAGGGAGAGAGTTCTTTGGGATCCTTGTTAGAAGGCTGATAATCCTATCCATAAGGGCTCCATTTCTATAATTAGCTCTCAAAGGTCCCATTTGTTTAATGCCATCATAGTGAATATGAATTTTGAGGTAACACATTTAGTCCCTATTACTCCTCATACATTTTTATTATCAGTAACTGCCCATATTAACTCTTTCTGAGACACAGCCATTGTTCTGAATTTTTTCCCTCTCATCATAGTTTAGTTTTGCCTGTTCTTAACCTCATATAAATAAACAAATGCCATATACACTCTTAATGTAAGGATCCTTTAAGTAATGTTTTTGAGGCCTAGCTTTATTTTTGTATGTAGCAGTAGTTTATTCCTTTTATTGCTGAGCAGGATTCCATTGTAGTGCCAGCTTATTTTTCCATTTTGCTATTATTGTTAGACATTTGGGTAGTTTCTAGTTTTAGCTGTTATGGATGGCTGCTTTTAACATTTGTGTACAAGTCTTTTCCTGAGTATGTGTTTTTATTTCTCTTATGTAAAAACTTAGGGGTGAATTTGCTGACCAACAATAGATGTGAGTTTAGTTTTAAAAGAAACTCTGAGATATTTTCCTAAAGTGATTGTACTGTATTATATTGTCACTAACAATATATGAGAGTCCTATTTGCTCCACGTCCTTATTATATTTGGTGTTTGCAATCTTCCTTTGATAGGAATAGAGTGGTGTATCACTGAGGTTTTAATTCATACTTCTTGATGATTAATTATGTTGAGTACATTTTTCACATACTTACTAGCTATTCATATATCTTCTTTTGTACTCTTTTCAGATATTTGCCTATCTTTTTAAACAATTTTTAAAATTTTCATACAGATTTAGGTGCATAGTGATACTTCTCACCCTACCCTCCCTCCTACCAGCACTCCGACCCTCTCTCCTCCTTCCTTTCTTATTCTTTCTATTGACTTTTTTTTAAAGACTTTTTATTTATTTATTTGAGAAATAGAGTTTTTGACCGTGAGAGGGAGAGACAGAGAGAAAGGTCTTCCATCTGCTGGTTCACTCCCCAATGGCCACAACGGCCGGAGCTGGGCCAATCCAAAGCCAGGAGCCAGGTGCTTCTTCCAGGTCTCCCACATGGGTGCAGGGTCCCAAGGACTTGGGCCATCTTCCACTGCTTTTCCAGGCCATAGCAGAGAGCTGATTGGAAGAGGAGCAGCTGGGACTAGAACCAGCACCCACATGGGATGCTGGTACTGCAGGTGGAGGATTAACCTACTGTGCCATGGCGCCGGCCCCTCTATTGACTTTCACAATGACACACTTTCAGTTTATTTTATAATCATATGACTAACCCTGGCCTGCGCCGCGGCTCAATAGGCTAATCCTCTGCCTAGCGGCACTGGCACACCCGGTTCTAGTCCCAGTCGGGGCACCGGAATACTGTCCCAGTGCCCTCTTCAGCAGCTCTCTGCTATGCCAGGAGTGCATTGAAGATGCCCAAGTGCTGGGCCTCCACCCCCATGTAGACAGAAAAGCACCTGGCTCCTGCCTTCGATCAGTGCGGTGCGGCAGCCGCAGTGCACCAGCCACGGCAGCCACTGGAGGGTGAACCAACGGCAAAGGAAGACCTTTCTCTCTGTCTCTCTGTCTCTCACTGTCAACTCTGCCGTGTCCAAAAAAAAAAGAGATAAAAAAAAAAGACTAACCCTCCACTAAGTAAAAAATTCAACAAAAAGTAAGAAGAAAGAAACCACTGTTCCAAAATATCAATTTCATATATATTACATTTTTTGTACCCTGTTACCATAGATCAGGGAAAACATGTAATATTTGTCTTTTTGGGACTGGCTTATTTCACTAAGTATAATGGTTTCCAATTGCATCTATTTTGTTGCAAAAGCCACGATTTCATTCTTTTTTACAGCTAATTAATATTCCATAGTGTATATATACCACATATTTTTTATCTGGTCATCAGTTTTTGAGCTTGACTCCATATCTTAGCAATTGTGAATTAAGCTTCAGTAAACATGGGGGTAACAGATAACTCCATATGCTGATTTCATTTCATTTGGGTATAGTTCCAGAAGTAGAATTGCTGAGTCATATGGTAAATCCATTTTCAGCTTTCTGAGTTATCTACATACTGTATTCCACAATAGCTATATTGTTTTGCATTCTCACCAGCAGTTATTAGAGAATCTTTTTCTCCACATCCTTCCCAGCATTTCTTGTTTGTTGATTTCTGTAGGAGAGCCATTCTAACTGGAGTGAGGTGAAATCTCATTATGGTTTCAATATGCACTTTTCTGATGACTAGTGATCTTGAGCATTTTTTATGTGTCTGTTGGCCATTTGCATTTCCTCTTTTGGAAAATGCCTGTTTGGGGCTGACTCTGTGGTGCAGTAGCTTAGTCCTCCGCCTGCAGCACTAGCATCCCATATGGGCACCAGTTCGAGTCCCAGCTGCTCCTCTTCTGACCAGCTCCCTGCTATGGCCTGGGAAAGCAGTAGAAGATGGTCCAACTCCTTGAGCTCCTGCACCCACGTGGGAGACCCAGAAGAAACTCCTGGCTCCTGGCTTTGGATCACCTCAGCTCTGGCTGTTGCAGCCATTTAGGGAGTGAACCAGCAGATGGAAGACCTTTCTCTCTGTCTCTCCCTCTCACTGTCTGTAACTACCTCTCAAATAAATAAAATCTTTAAGAAAAAGAAAAGAAAAATACCTTTTCAAGTCCATTGACCATTGCTCAACTGGGTTGTTTGTTTTGTTGTTGTTGAGTTTCTTGAGCTCTTTATAGATTCTGGGTATTAGTCATTAATCAGTTGTGGTTGCAAATATTTTCTTCCATTCTGTTGGTTTCCTCTTCACTTTGCTGAGTGTTTCCTTTACAGTACAAAAGCTTCTTGGCTTCATGTAATCCCATTTGTCAATTTTTGCTTTGATTTTCTGTGCTTCTGGGGTCTTTTCCAAGGAGTTTTTGCCTACACAAATGTCTTGCAGAGTTTCTACAATGTTCTCCTCCAGTCATTTGCTGGTATCAAGTCATAGTTTAGATTCTTGATCCACTCTAAGTTGATTTTTTTTATAAGTTGTAGGTTAGGGGTCTTGTTTCATACTTCTGTGTGTAGAGATCCAATTCTCAAAGCACCATTTGATGAAGAGACTATGCTTTCTCCAGGGATTGATGTTAGCTCCTTTGTCAAAGATTAGCAGGTTGTAGATGTGTGGATTGATTTCTTGGGATTCTGTTCTGTTCTATTGGTCTACATGTCTATTTTGTGCCAGTACCAGGCTGTTCTGATTATAACCACCCTGTAGTGTATCTGGAAATCTAGTATTGTGGTGCCTCTGGCTTTGTTTTTGTTATTTAAGATTGCTTTAGGTATTTGGGGTCTCTTGTGTTTCCAAGTAAATTTTAGCATCATTCTTTTCTAGATCTGAGAAAAATTGATTGGGATCTCTTGAATCTTTAAATTTTCATTTTAGAGATGTTTCACAACCTTGGTTAAATTTATTCCAAGCTATTTAAAATCTTTTGTAGTTACTGTGAATGAGACTGATCGTGAGAGTTCTTTCTTAGCCATGGTATTTATTATGTATACAAAAGTTATTCATTTTTGTGTGTTAATTGTATATCTTGCAGCTTTTCAAACTCTCTTAAGAGTTCAATAGTCCCTTAATGGAGTCTTTCAGTTC